CTGCAATGAATATGCCTGAGTTCATATATTTGTTCTTAGGAACAGAATAGCTTCAGTCGGAGTCGGAGTCTGGACAATTTTACCGACTCCGACTCCACAGCCCTGAAAATTTCATTCCACTGTACCTGTGCATAGTGAACAACCACACAAACAAATAAACAGACACTGCGTTATACAGTACCCCGGTATACTGTATATATATTAGATAAATAGGGGAATGTAGGCTACATAATAATAATCATCAAAACATTTAAGTTTTTTATATTAGGGCATGAACTTTACGCCACTAATTTGAACTCAATCTCCATTACAGTGTATTGTCATTATATTATACTGTACTTACAATGTTTGCAAAATTTTTGTTGTCAGACAATCAATTTTCATTGTGACCATTTTACACTTTTCATGCACCTGGAGTTTCACTGATTGTTTTTCTCTTTTGGTATATGTTGTTGTTATTATGAAACTTAAACTGGGCTCATCATTTAACTTATCAATTTGGAGGTCTTGTGAATTTTGTTCTGTAATGTTTCATAGGTTTTGTTCTTTGATGTTCATATCTAATGTTCACATTTAGCCAAGTACACTTGAGGTGATATCATTTTGCAGGACATAATGAAAATGGAAACTGTAAATATACCAAGTATTTTGTATGTGGGATTCATGCATTAAATGTAAAAGATCAAACATCTTAGAGCGTTATTATTTTAAAATGATTCTTCTTGGTTCAAGTAAAGAAAGTTGTTAAGGTAAGAAAGTAAAGATCTATGAGATTTTTTTCAGTAAAGTAATTTTTTTTTTCATATTTCAGTGCGATCTTTAGCATCTGTGGCATTCACAAAGCTCTTGATGATGAAACGGACTTTCACTTTGATTTCTTTACTGTTGACATCAATGAAGAATTAGGGGCATTTTATGGACCAGCATTGGAGAAACAGACAGAATTTGTTTCCATTGCTGTGAACCGCATCCTCAGGTTGTATGGTGATGCTCCAGTTACACCCGAGTCTTTAATCCTTGTTGGTCATTCTATGGTAAGTTTTGGTCTTTGTATTTGTGTATAGTCTTTTAAGTCGTTAATCCTGTTCCAACATTTATTTCTTGTATATCGGTTAAACACACCCTTTATCAGTTTTTAGCTAATATAAGAATCCTTAAATTTGGAATAAAGTAATGCTGCAAGAGTTCTTTAACTTTCCTACACCAAATAAGATATCTCAGATGCAGTCTTTTGACTGACCATCCTTCAGTGTAGTGGCCCATCTTTGAATAGGTTCAATGTATTTATGTTGCACATATATTATTGTTTTCTTTCATTTGGTATCATCCATATTTTTTTCACTAAACCAATAGCATTACTTGACAGATATTGTAGATGGACCTTTAGCCTTTTCCATATTTGTTCATTTAATTATATTTCAGACCCAGACTTCGCTGTTGTATTTGAGTTAATTTTAATTCATCTGTAATTTTCTCTTCTGCTGTGTATAAAATTCTCCTATTTATGATGTAAAACTCAGTTGCCATGCCTAGTTTGCTTATGTTATAAATGTACATCATTATAGCCATATTTTTTCCAAGTAATTTCACTCCTCCATGCTTGACTTTCACCCACACTACCACTAAACACTTTCAGCTTAACAGTGTCAATAGGCTTATTAAGCAGTCATTGAGATAATGAAATACAGTAATGTTTTTCTTACTCACCTTAAAGCATAAACAGAGTACTTATAGATGTACAGGTTTTTCATTCTTGTAACTTTTTTTCATTCTTGAGGGAGGTTTGGTAGCAAGAGCAGTGTATACAAATAGAAGCATAACAGTATCTACGGTTGCCCACTCATCATTACCAAGGCTACACCACACACCCGCCCGTTGGTGATTTTGGACCAACACCTTGAGCAATTCTATGAGAAAGTAAGGCCCTCTTCAAGCTGTGTTATGAAGCCACTGTTAATATGGTAACAATGAAACTAACTTTAATTTTGATACTTAACCTACCTAAATGTTTCTTTAACATGCTAATTAATATAGAAGAGTAAACCCTCGATTCCTCAGTCTCCAAGTGTACAATTTTAATTTATACAGTAGTAAATTTACTGTATACTGTAATCCTTGCTTTTCTTTTAAAGTGCTTCTCTACAACATTGCTGATGAATTAGGGAATATAATTTCATTTGCATTAAGTCATTACAAAGTTGTTTTGAAATTTGAAAGAAAAAACAAGGGTGTGTGCATGTGTTTGCGTAGAAGTGAGAAATCCTTACCTGGTATCTCCATCTCACAAGATAATGTGCTTTTGGCCCTTTACAGAGCCCTACCCATTTTGCTTCCACTTTTATGGGCAATTACTGTATTATGATAACTACAAATGCTGGATATGACAAGGGCATGTGGGTATGATGTAGACACAACAAGCCCATCACCTGACTGACAGGCTTGGTGTGGTCTTCCAAATAACCCGTTCCTCTATGACACCCATACTCACAAATGTTGGTTTACTGTATGTCAGTGACCTCATTTGGTGTGTCACCATTGATCTTAACAATACTGAGAGTGATGTTGACAAATATTAAACCGACAGTACCATGCAAAAACATTTAATGTACAAACAAACACTCAAACCATCCTCTGGGTGATGTGACACAGTTCAGCCGGGCAGTCAATCAGCTGACTCAAAGACGTGTGGCTACTGCCGCAGGTGCTGTGTGTATGCTGTGACATCATATAGGAGGAGGGAGAGTGCGGCTGGTGCTGAATCGGCGACACAGTTACAGCTAACTGTGTCAGTACAAATGTTCACTTTCTACACATATGTGCCCATGCTCTTCATATTTCTTAATTTATAGTATTATATTATATATATTTATTTTTTCTGGGCCACATCAGAGTACAATAAAACCTTGATAAATCGGACTCCAATACACCGGAATTTGCTTTTTTTGGACTGAGATGCTCTGGTCACCAGAAATACTAAAAAAAAAAAAAGTACCGGTAAGAAATGGGGAAGATTAAATAAAAAATATATTATGAAATAAACAACACTTACTGAATACTGTACAGTTGTCTAATCAGATTTGCTATAGTCCTACTGAGAACTAAGACACTTGAGTATGTAAGCAGGCTGGGGCTGATCAGGTGTTGCCACATTCGTCAGGTTTATTTATTTATTGATTCAGTAGTATTATATTCTCATATGATTGGCCTCTTATGGTTCATCAAAATTAATAAAACATCTTCAGTAATAGAGAAAAAATACAATACTCTATGTAATTTGTAATATGACTTGAAAATAAAAGGGTAAGCTGTATCAGAAGGTTATTTACTCAAAATGCATTCGTGTGAGCTTTCAGTCGACCAGCTTACAACAGGGGTCACTATAACACACTGTACCGAATAGTATTTGATATGAAGATACCTTCTTTAAAACGTTATTTACTACCTTTGAGTTTTATATGATATCTCAGTTTGGCTACTATTAATGAATAAACCAGGGGATTTGCAGATGCATAATATTTTACTCTGTGGTGATAAATACACTACAATAGTATTTTTTAAGTGGTGATAAATACACAGCCAATCAGCTGTTTGCTCTTTGTAAACAAATCAGTATGAAATGACTTATCTTCAGTGTGGGATTCTTTTTTCAGGAAATTTGATTCTTTTAGGATAATATTTTATCAACATGGCACCAAATGATCCTAAATTATATGAGAATTGTTGGTGGAATTGCATATAGAAGTGTTAAAGGAATCTTGTGGGAGAGAGGAGGAGGGAGCCACCCACCCCTCTGCCAGCTGCTCCCAGATAAACATTTGTCTTCCACATACAATATACTCCTACACTTATTTGTTCTTATTTTTATCTTAATAGTACTGTACAGTATACACTTTTCTCTTTATTCATAAGACAAATTCTGTGGTTACTTACATATAACACTTTACACTAAATAACAGTCATCTCAGTGACAACAGTTGTTGACAACCAGACTTTGATGTCCGATTTTCAACCCAGAGATTTGTGTTTCACATTTGTTTATTGTTTTATTGTTTTAATAACCTTGTTATACACTTAAAGACCTTAATTGTTGTAATGCAGTAATAACATAACAACTGATTTTCTTTAAACAGTTCAGATTAGCAGTGTTATATCCAACTCCCTCCACCCCATATATTCCCTGTTTTGGGACTCGCATTTTTCGAAATGGGGTCTGCCCCCTATTTATCGAGGTTCTACTGTATTGTAATTATTTGATTTATATTTTTTTCTAAAATGAATATGAACAAGTGATGAACATGTTGAGATAGTGAGAGATGCTGGGTGCCTTGGCTTGCACGAAAGTGAGACTCAAGCATAAGGGTGGTTCAGGGAGTCAGACGTGTATAAGCGGGGTCGCATGCTAAGGATATGCGTATTCTGCGACCCTACTGTATACAATATTAGCATTCATGTGCACATCCAGTGACCAACTGTTGGCCACACACTGTCAAATTAAAAATATCTTAATTCTGTTAGATATACAGCATATGTAGTGTAGAGTATACTTTACCTGGGTACCGTATATCAAATTTCTGACATTATCTACTTCCCAAAAGTTTCTTGGTCTTAAGCATTTTGGTTTCCTGTTACTCAAATGTACCTTATATACAGTTCCATTCCTAAGGCAGGAACTTGTAATTTTCTTGATGTTATCATTATTTATAATAGAATTTTTACTCATCTTTTTCAGGTTAACACATATTGGACCATGGAACGCCCCTTTGACTTAAAGGATGTTGTGCTTGTATCTATTGGAGGTGGTAGGAATGATGTACAAGTACCAACATCACACACTCATACACCTCTTGCTGATATTGCAACTACAACATCAGATGTAAGTTTTTTTTTATTCTTTCTCAAGAGATCAATGTCTTGATATTTTTTTTATACAGCAGTATGTCCCATGCTGCCAAATTTCTAGTTGTTATAATCCTTTAACATTTCTGAGGATTCCTTTACCCAGTTACAGTAACCTGTTCTTTCTTCTTATGGTTATTTTCTCATTGTCTTTAGATGCATCCATAAATGACCATTCTCTCCTTATTAGCTTTGTCACTAACTCAAGAATCAATACTTCTTGCCGAGTGATCAAGAATTCCACCTTCTTGGAATGACTTATGAACATTTATTTTGGTTCCTTCCTGTAAGTTTTCATAGACTCCTGTCTTCATTCTCTCACTACTTTAAATATGCTATATGTCTCTACTGTGCATTACAGGTATACAGTACCTCTTTTAGTTCTCTAATTACATTCCCAGAAAATGGACCACTAAAAGAAACAGCTCTACTAGAGGACGTTATAAAATAGTCCCAATAAAGATGCATTCATGACAGTGCTTTTACCCATTTCACTCACTTTTAGGGAATTCTTAATTATAAATAGACTATTTATTTATTTACTTATTTTTTTTAGATAAGTATGCAATGACATTTTCTTTATACAGTGGTCCCTCGGTTAACGAGCACAATCCGTTCCAGCAGGTTGCTCGTTAACCGAAAAACTTGTTAACCGAAACCATTGTTTCAATGGGTTTTTGGGTAATTGGTTCCAGCTCACCGAAAATTGCCTAAATTCAACAAAAAAGGTAGAAAAGTACACTTACTTTGAGGTGTGTATGTAGAAGGCTCCTGGATGATGATGATGATGATGATGGGAATTAGAATGGGGGTGGAGGAGAAGGGAGAAGAGAAGGCATTGGGGTGGAAGAGAAGTCTCCCCATGGCACCATTTCACCCATAAAATTTTAGTTCTCTTGGTGTAATTCAAGATTATTTTCTTAAAATCAACACTGCACTGCATTATATATTGTCAATATGTAAAATAAATTTCAAAATGACCAATAATTTGCTTGGAAACACAGAAAAAAAGCGTTTAGTTGAAGAGAGTCTCACGCAAGATGTTACCTCCACTGAAAACAGAGAGAGACTAATGCCTGTCTGGTGTGTTAACATGGATAGTAGTGAAGCATGCATTGTCTCTAGATGTGGATAGCAGTTTAAAGACTAAGTAGTACCTTTTTTCTTCTTTTTAGAAAAGCAAATCACATCTTATGGGTTAGTTTTGTAATTTTTATACAGAATTAACTTGTTTCTTACTCTATGATCTGATGCCTTCCATTAAAGTAAATCCATAAGTTTACAGTATGATATCTTCCACAACTGAAGCAATTTACTGGGACTGGTCAATTATATATGACATGACAGGCTGACTCATGAAGTCAACAGCATTACCAAGTCATCGCTTGTGATCTGAAACAGGTTGACCCCAACCACAAAGTGTCAGGGCTCAGTGACAAGTGTTCCTGACATGCCCAATATAATTATTGTGTATACAGCATTCAGTAACAACATTACCCTTTATTCTCTTCTCGGCTGTCTTCTTGGAATTCAATATGTGATGTGAAATTGCACCTGAATTTCAGTCTCAATACAGGGTATTTTTTTTTTTTTTTTTTTTAAATTAATTACCTGTATAGCACTTTGTTTCCAGTAATTAACAATTGAATAGTGAATGTGGATTTGCAGGTTCCATCTTGTTGGGTAACCGCTGACCATCAAGCCATTGTCTGGTGCCGGCAGCTGGTGTTGGCAGTTGTACGAGCTCTGTTTGATTGTATTGATCCACGTACGTTAATGCTAACGACCAACAGGAAGCTCATAGTTGATGTCTTTGACTATCATCTTTCAAAGGTTTGTATACTTTTTTTTTCTCTTTTTGAGTCATATTGTGTTATAGTACAGTACATTTTTTATGCTTTCTATCTGTCAAGGTGATTACAGTCCCAGGCATGAAAACCTTATTTCACAAGTTATGTTGAATGAAATAAGGCCATTCTAAGGGTTTTACTCACAGCTAGAATACACTTTATGGATTCTTCTTACTCACTTTGTTCATTATGTAAATTGGCATGTTTGGGTACAAATGTTTTGGGTGAATTAACTCCGTTCACTTTAGCTCTTCCACCACTACAATTTACACATTGTGTGCCCTTTTAGACACCCCATGCATTTAACCATTTCTTATCCCTTCCATTTTGTTGATCCCAAATGCAATAATTTTTCCTTTCTAATAATCTAAATTATAGATTACATAACTGAATATATCTTTTCAGAGGATCACAGGAAAACGCTACAAGAGTGCTTTTTACCCGACTACTATTGAGTTTGACAAAGAGGCAGAATGGAAGGAATTGCCAAAACGCCAACATACTCATGTAGCTAAAGCAACACCACATAGAACCTATCTAATGATCCCTATAAACCCTGGTCATCAGCTGTATCATCAGGCAACCATTGTTGCTACAAATCTGGATAGTAAAATCTGGGTCATGGCTTGTAATGCCAACATTGTACAGAAAGAGATACGAAAGTGGTAAGAAGCGAGATTTATAGTTTTTCATTTTTATTAAAGTACTGTAATAGGTTGGATAGACTTAGTGGCATCCCCATTGTGAAGGGGTTAGGTGTCTATATCTTTGGGTTGTGCTTATTATCCACAATGCTCGACTTCCCTTTGATTTTCCAAATTGTATGAATCTGATTCAGGGTCAATGAGAGAAATTTTAGGTTCCCTTAGGGTTTTTCTGAAGCACTATGTATTGAAAGTCCCCTTTCTGGTAAGTAAACATTGAAGCCCGCCTTTGGCTGAGTTGCAAATGCATGAAACTTGCCTCATTTAGGTGCATTCCTGTACTCCTTCATACCTAATCTTGGGACATGTTTGAATCCTTCAGAGGATATAAAAGCTGGATAACTGTCCTGGCTGTTTACTGGAGACAGCTGGGTGGTTTAAAATTTTCCCATTAAGTCTAATTTACCCCTCAACCATCAGTGATTATTATTACTGTTGGTTAACTTCAAATTGAATTCCAAGGTAATGCATCCATGTAAGTGGTTCATTTTTCTCACCCTTATTTTTTTTTATCCCATTACAGTACTTCACTTATTTTTATGGTTTGCTCTTACAACTCCAAATATTTTAAGACTTTTTCCCCAGAGTCTGATATCTTGCCATGTGGTGTTTTGCTTCCATGGCATAGACTTCAGGATAAGGATTATGGGACAAATGAATAAAAATTGAGGCTCTAATAGGCTGAGCAGATTAGCAGAGCCCAGCAGCCTGGGCTTACCCAGACAAGGGGCCAGACAAGTGATTTTTCATGTCCTTGTGCCCAGCACTTGCCGGGCAGATAAGTTAATATTTTGAAAGGAAAATACCCAGACAGGAATGTGTAAGGGGCAGCTCGGCCCCACCTCATCGTACATGTTTAACCAGTGAGGTTCATCAACCAGCGAAGTGTGTGTGCTTGACCTGATGCCATATTGTGACATCATAGCTTGTCCCTCCTATTTTAATTGGTTTATATTCCCAATGAACTGACTTGAAAATTTGTATACCGTATATCACGGCCTATAAGACGAAATTTGAACATTAAAAAAATCTGCCCAAAGTTAGGGGGTCGTCTAAACCACCAAGTTTAAAATTCTTACCTCTTAAATATTGTGGTTTAGTGTGTCAAGAGTGGTGATGAAAACATCGTAAGCCACTCACAAGGTCTTACCACTAATTATTTTATACTGAAACTTACGTTTGGCAAGCTGGATTCAAATTAAGATTACCGGTATATTAAAATAATAAAAATGTATTATAAACCTGTCTAACATACCGTAAAAGAGATTTATACCCCTGTAATAAACACAGCTATCATCACACACCCCTCCCCACGCCCCCCCCATTTGCCAGTGAGGAGACAAGAAAGGAAAAGTGCATTAATTCTTGAAACTATCGACGGTTAATTACAGACGCTCAAGTGACGTCACTAGTGTTTACACTACACCAGCTGGTAATATTTGATGCCATTACTTGAAGTGAATTGGCCTTATTTTAAGTAACTAACTATAAATAAATACAAAAATTAAAAAAAAAGATCAAAACTGAGAAATAATATACTGTATGTATGTTGTGTTGTCAAAGTAAGAGGAACAATTGTGTAAGTACGTAATATTTTTTCACTCAAATCCTAATGAAACACTACTGGAGAACATTCCTTTGTCGCAAAACAGTTTATAAATTAAAGAAAATAATTACAGTGTGTTTAATATATTACAGTATATTATAAATAAATAAATAAAACAAATAATTCGGTAAATCTATTTAAAGTAAATGGAAAATAAGCAAACATGTTATTTACCAAGACCCTTCCGTCTGGCTCAGGGTGAGATGGAGGGGAGATAACAAGCTATTTATAGCCCATTTGAAGTGACCAGTACCCTAATGCACCATAAATAATTCATTGAACATTCATTTTTTGTACATAGTATATTCAGTATATATATATATATATATATATATATATATATATATATATATATATATATATATATATATATATATATATATATATATATATATATATATATATATATATATATATATATATATATATATATATATATATATATATATATATATATATATATATATATATATTTGTGTAATAAATGTATGTAGTAAGTACATACTGGTAACCTTTTTCACTCAAATCCTAATGAAACACCACAATTAGAATACGGTGGTTGCTGTTGAACCACATGTTGTATAAATAGTCACACCACCGAGACGAGGGAACACTCCCACCACGCTTCAGTGACGTCACTAGTGTTTACACTACACCAGCGGGTATAATTTGATGACATTACTTGAAGTGAATTGGCCTTATTTTAAAAAATCAAGGATGGTTGGTAAAGGACTACTGAGTCAGTGGGTAAGTGTCACATTTGGGGTACTGGTCTTATACAGCAAATAGAGCTCAAAAGCTACTTTTTAAATGGAAATTTGGGGGGGGCGTCTTATGCACCCCGCCGCCTTATAGGCCGTGATATACGGTAAGAGCTCCCACTGATTGCTGTGTAACCAGAATTGTGTTGCAAACTGAAGTGAAAACTTCAACATGAATAAGAAGCAAGGAACTTTGACTGGGTGCATTTAGACCAGCAGTTCCCAACCTCAGGTCGCGACCCAAATCAGGGTTGCGGGGTGTCCTCAGTAGGGTCGTGAGGGGCCCTCAGACAATTAAAAAAAATATAGTACTTATCACAAAGTCAAAAAAAAATTTTGCTTAACATTCAAGCTATATAATATATTATATGCCTGAGGGTCACGACACTGCATTGTTGGGAAATTTAGGGTCGCAGCCAAAAAAGGTTTGGAACCACTGATTTAGACGGACACAGGTGATCTGTGAGCTAATAAACACAATAAATTTGAATGTTTAATTGTTTATTAAATATTTCCCATAAAAAACTGTGCAAGCAAATTTTTTGAGGGGCACTTGCTTGGGACAAGTAAATGTTCCACATAATCTGCACAGCTTGGGCTCCAACCTGCTTGTTATGTACAGGGTGTCCATTCATACCTCTTCTATTTTTAATATTCTTGGTAGATAGAATAATTAAATTTTTTGCATTTTGTTTGTTAACAAATAAAATTGTATATGTTCTTCAGTGTGACTCAACATGTGCACTATTAGTGGACTGTAACACACCTATTTGAAACATAACAAATTAGCACTGCTGCCATATACAGTAAGTGTGGTCCAATGACTTGGACCTGTAAACAAGTTAAAGATAATAATGAGAGCTGCCTGGCTACTGGTGGGTCATGCTAGGAGATAGGATTTCGGGATCAATCACTAATTGTTAATATTACTAATAATAATAATAGATGCTTTGGCTAAGTGGACACAGCACTCATCTCTTATTCCATGGGACACCCTCAGTTTCCACAGCTGTTAATGGGTACTTAATTTACAGCTGGGGAAGTGAAGGTGTTTGAGTGCAGTGCTGATCACACCACCTCCTTTGTATTAATAAATGGGTAAGTCTACTGTGTGTTGTATCTCTATTGTCTGTGAAACTTACTTTACCTGTAGTAAACATTCTCTCTATAGCTTGACAGGTGAAAACTTATCCAGTAAAACCAAGAAGTTGAAGGGTAAATTGAAGACTGTGGAACTAGACATGGGGACCCTTGGAGCAGCTGGTCACACACACATCATTGTCCACATTCCTACAACAGATGAGAAGGTTAGTTCATTTTATTTAAAGGGTCTCTTCCAATGAATTATTAGGGGTCTGGGGTATGGAGGGACTGCCTGATGAATCCTTTTGTCCGTCATAGAGAATGCCTGTACAGTGACCCCTCGTTTAACGTAATTTCGATTAACGAACTGCCTTCCATAAGGATCTTCAATTCGGTTAACGAAAAAAAAATTCGGTTAACGAAGTTCTTACGAACCGACCTCATGTTTTCGCTTGCACTGACCGGGCAACCAGCTTTAGTATCAGTCCGCCAATACATTAACCGGTTCTAGGGCTTAAATTCCTTACTATTTTAGTAAATATCAAGAAGTTTATGCTATTCAATAATTTTAAAAGTTTAATATTCAATTTTTTAGTCATTTTAACAATTATTGAACATAATTGAAGGTAAATGACTAGTTTAATGTGCGGCATCCAGCCTCTTAACACACCAAACAGGAGTTAGTCTCTCTCTGTTTTCACTGGAGGTAACATCTTGCTTGAGACTCTCTTCAACTAAATGCTTTTTTTCTGTGTTTCCATGCAAATTATTGGTCATTTTGAAATATATTTTACATATTGACAATATATAATGCAGTGCAGTGTTGATTTAAAGAAAATAATCTTGAAATACACCAAGAGAGCTAAAATTTTATGGATGAAATGGCACCATGGGGTGACTTCTCTTCCACCCCCATTCTAAATCCCATCATCATCATCATCATCCAGGAGCCTTCTACATACACACCTCAAAGTAAGTGAACTTTTCTACCATTTTTGTTGAATTTAGGAAATTTTTGGTGAGCTGGAACCAATTACCCAAAAACCCATTGAAACAATGGTTTTGGTTAACGAACTTTTCGGTTAACGAACGACCTTCTGGAACGGATTGAGTTCGTTAACGGAGGGGTCACTGTAGTCATAAAAAGACCTTGAAAAGTTTTGGAATTTGAAAATGACTGCTCAAGACCTGAAAATTAATCATTATACTTTGAATATGGTGAAAAATCTGTGAAAAAGGGAGTCCATAAAAACAGGTAAAACAGAGAAAAATTAGGAACTCTACGCCCTTCCCCTCAAGTGAAAATAAATTTGTTGTAGCAATTGTTTAACCCCCTTTTAACCTCACCATGAGCAGATGTTTTAATGTGCCTCATCCCCAGAAAGAATATAAATTTGGTAAATATTACACTGTACCTTGCACAAATTTACTAGTATTCACAAGTACTGAATATCCTTTATTAATGTGGCTTTTTTAATGATTTCATATCACTTCATGCCTTTCACAGTCAGCCCTCAAGGCAAGTGAAAATGTAAACAAAAATATATATACAGTACTGTATATATAAAATAAGAATGATTTGATGTTGCCGATAAAGGCAAACTGATGAAATATAATAAAATGCACATTAATGTATGTATTGTAAGTTAATAGTTAAAAAAAAAAAATTTTTTTACAAAAAGTACAGTAAGTCCTCGCTCAACGTCGTGGTTCCGTTCCTGGAAACCGCGACATTAACGGAATAAATTTTCCCCATAAGAAATAGATAAAATACGGGAGTTACGTTCCCGAGCCTCCCTTTGCCCCATGAAATACATTACATATACAGAAATTCAATGGTATTTATATAGAAATTAGTTTATATATACAGTATAGTCTCGATTTACGTGGATTTCCTTTACGCGGCACCTGGCCAGACCGGCAATTATTAGTTATGCGGTACATTCCATCATTTACGCGGGAAGCGGCGCGGGCATGGTGCGCACTAGGTCGCCCAGTCAACAAAACATTCCCGCGTTCTTCACCCGCCACCCACCACAGCCAGCCGAAGTCAGTGATAGTGAGAGTGAGGATATGGACTTTGAGGGGTTTGACAAAGGGGCCCTGCAAGCCTCTGTGGTGGATAGTGATACAGGTGATACAGGTGAGGGCCAATAATCTGCCCTCTACCTCGGAACCAACCCCCCATCCCCGTGTGCCCAGCCATCTCTTCTACTAACGTAAGTGTTAAAACACCTAATATTATTGATATTTCTCTTAAATATTAATTGTGTGTGCATACCATCATAAAATTAAGATGTTATTTTTACTACAACGTACGTACAGTGTCGGTAAAAGGGTAGTTTGGGGGTCGGCCCAGTCTCTATTTCAGTTAATCCCATATGTTCTGTTATTTCGTTTACGCATTTCTCGTTTTACGCGGACCTCCACGGGTTCAATTGACCACTTAAACCGAGACTATACTGTACTGTATACAGTGGTCCCTCGGTTAACGAGTTGCCTTCCATAAGATTCTTAACTTCGGTTAACGAGCAATCCCTCGATTAACAAGTTTCTTACGAGCCAACCTGAACATGATTTCGCTTGCATTTGGCGGTCCACCAGCTGTAGTATTAGTCCGCCAATACAGTGACCCCTCGGTTAACGAACTCAATCCGTTCCAGAAGGTCGTTCGTTAACCGAAAACTTAATTGGTTATTTATCAAAACTTTGAAAATAATTTTGAAACACCTCCAGTGAAAACAGAGAGACTAACTCCTGTTTGCTGTGTTAAGAGGCTGGATGCCGCGCATTAAACTAGTCACTTTACCTTCAATTATGTTCAATAATTGTTAAAATGACTAAAAAATTGAATATTAAACTTTTAAATTATTGACTAGTATAAACTTCTTGATATTTACTAAAATAGTAAGGAATTTAAGCCCTAGAACCGATTAATGTATTGGCGGACTGATACTAAAGCTGGTTGCCCGGCCAGTGCAAGCGAAAACATGTTGAGGTCGGTTCGTAAGAAATTCGTTAACCGAATTGAAGATCCTTATGGAAGGCAGTTCGTTAACCGAGGCGTTCGTTAAACGAGGGGTCACTGTACAGTAATCTGTTCTAGGGCTTAAATTCCTTACCATTTTAGCAAATATCAAGAAGTTTATACTATTCAATAATTTTAAAAGTTTAATATTAAATTTTTTACTCATTTTAACAATTATTGAACATAATTGAAGGTAATGAAACTAGTTTTATGCGTGCCATCCAGCCTCTCAACACACCATACAGGCGTCAGTCTTTGTATCTTTTCAGTGGAGGTAACATCTTGCTTGAGACTCTTCAACTAAATGCCTTTTTTCTGTTTTTGCAAGCAAATTTTTGGTCATTTTGAAATTTATTTTACATATTGACAATATATAATGCAGTGCAGTGTTCATTTAAAGAAAATAATCTTGAATTGCACCAAGAGAACTAAAATTTCATGGGTGAAATGGCGCCATGAGGTGACTTCTCTTCCACCCCAATGCCTTCTCTTCTCCCTTTTCCACCCCCATTCTAATTCCCATCATCATCATCCAGGAGCCTTCTACATACACACCTCAAAGTAAGTGTACTTTTCTACCTTTTTTGTTGAATTTAGGCAATTTTCGGTGAGCTGGAACCAATTACCCAAAAGCCCATTGAAACAATGGTTTCGGTTAACGAGCAACCTTCTAGAACGGATTGTGCTCGTTAACCGAGGGACCACTGTATAGAACTAAATCATTATGTATTGTACTCACTGATGGCCGGAGTGTGTTGTGGGTAGGGGAGCGGAGGAGGATGGCGAGTCACTGAGACTTGGCAGGTGCCTCCTCCTCCCGCTCTGGCGGGTTCCTTTGCTGCTGTTTGCTTCTCCTTGCTTGCAGGCTGTTGTGAAGATGCAGCTGCTGCTGCTGCCTCTCTGCGACAAAAAAAAGAACCCAGCATTGACTGCTTAGTGCTCCTCTTCTTCTTGTAGGTTTCACTGTAACCAGCAAGACTGTCATCAATGTTGCGTTGAATCTTTGAGTTACGTTCTCTGTTTGGGTCGTCATCAATAAAGATTTTAATTCCTTGCTGAATCATGTTGAACGCTTCTGCCATCCTCTTGGTAGTTAACGTTCGTTGTGTTATTTCTTCCTCGTCATCGTCTTCAACGGGTCTGTGTTTTGTGAGGTGTTGCAAATCCTCATTAGTTAGCTTTTCTGTATGGGATGCCAGGACTTGCTCAATATTCTCTGATTCCAGCTTATGAAAGCCTGCCTGTCTAGTCAATCTGAGGATATCCCTATTCACTGCTGGGACTAAGTCCATGAATCCCATAAAACTGTTGATGCACTCAGGCCACAATTACGCCCCACACCATTCAGGCAACTTTCTGACTCTTCTTTTCATGCCTTGCCAATGTTGTCTATTGCATGAAGAATGTTGAAGCCCCGCTAATATTCTTGGATCGTAGGTTTATTTTCTCCATCAGTAGCGGTTAGCAGTTGATCCATGGTACGCCGTAAATAATACGTCTTGAATGCCTTGGTCCATAGGCTGCATCAGTGCTGTCATGTTGGGAGACAGGAAGACAACTCGAACATTTTCATGTAAGTCGTCGATATTGGGAGGCTGAGCTGGATCACTGTCAACGACAAGAAGAATTTTGACATCTAGGTTCTCCTTGGCACAGTATTCCTTCATTGCAGGGACGGAGTATATGGTTAACCACTGGCTAAATATGGCGTTGGTTATCCATGCCTTCTTATTTGCCTTTTAAATGACAGGAAGGTGTTTCTTGGAGTAGCCTTTTAGGGCAGTGCGAGAAATCAGCATAGGCTTCAGCTTAAAGTCGCCAGCAGCGTTCGAGCCAAGCAGCAGCGTCAAACCTGGCGCTCTTTTCTCTTCCTTTGAGATATAGGTTCTATCTGGCATCCTCTTCCAAAAGAGACCAGTTTCATCCATATTAAACACTTTCTTTGCTAAGTAGCCTCCATCCTCGATAATGTTTTTGAATTCAGGCGGGAATATCTTGGCAGCAACCGTATCTGAATTCGCAGCTTCATCAGTCATCTTAATATTATGGAAGTTATAACGGTGCTTAAAACGTTGAAACCATCCTCGGCTGGCCCTAAAGTTCTCTTCCTTTGATCCTTCACCCTCTTCTGCCTTTAAGTCGTCAAATAAGGATTTTGCTTTATGCTGGATAACTATAAGGCTCACAGTGGCATTGCGTTGATTCTGGTCTTCCATCCACACAGCCAGCATCTTTTCCATCTTTTCAATCATGGAACTTCGAGTATGACTTATCTTTGTTGCACTCAGCGACTTATAACGAAACAACGTTAACAGCGGCAATGTTAAACGAAGACTTGCTGTATTCCCTATTTAATGCTTATTATGCTTGCTTTATATGTGTGTTTTTTTCTTGCTTGACAGTCTGAACGACAGAGATGTATCAAGGGTGGATGGGAGTTTTTGGTGGGTGGCTGATCCTTAAACCCCCCCCCCCCAATTTATATTCTTATGGTATTAATTGCTTAGAAAACCGTTGATTCACTATCCGTTGACTTTTCACAGTCCACATATGTGTCAGTTATCTGGGTATACATGTAGTTGTGTTTTGGGTTATTGTGCAGTACATGCAGGGTCTTATATTTTGATATAATAAAAAACAATTTTCCACTCATTCAACCGTTTAAAAAGTTCCTACAGATCATTTTGCAAGGATGCAGTGTCTTCATGACTTACCACTTTCCTGTAACTCTTAGTGTCATTAGTAAATTTGAATCTGTGACTCAGTGTATTTTGATCAGTACAGGAAGGTTCCATTTAACAAGCAATATGTGTTCCAGAAAACATGCTTGTTAGGGGAATTCTTATTCAATGGGACCCATTTTCCATAGGTTCTGACCAAACTGGACAGTAGTTTCGTGAACCGGAACTGAATGGGTGTCATAAAATCCATCATAGATATATGATACCTTTGGCTTTGTGTGCCAGATCCTGCTGTGTCATCTTCACTCTCAGGCCTTCATGCCCTCTATTATCCATGAGGTCAACCTCTATATTTGATATGTGATTTCTTTTATAATCTGCTTGTAACAGTGAGGTAGACTGTAAGGTTAGACCCAGCCAGACTAATGTAGGGGTATGAAAGTAGTCCAATACCATGTGAATGTTGTGAAGTCTTAATGGGTAATATCCTAATTTTAAGATGTAGTGCATTTTTATTTATACAATTAAACAGACTAAATAATCTATTACAGTATATTAGGTTATACTGTAGGTAGTTTATTCTGTATGTATCTATAATTACAGGTGCAAGTTGCCATAGATATCCACAGTAAGAATGGACGGCAAAGAGCCATTGATGTGCCAGCTTTTTTTCGGTCATTTATGCAGACTTTGATTGTGGATACCACGCCTCAGAAAGCTCTGTCTTACAATGTAACTCTAAAAGGTTTACAAGATATGTGGCAGTCATTTAAGATTATTGTGCGACCTCGCTCTACATGTGCAACAGAAAATGTACCAGTGGCAAAGATGTACACACCATGGGTTCAGAAAGAGTCTTCCCTGGAGAGTAGGTAAGTTTTGATTTTGTAAATTAAAACCATATAAATTTATATATGCTCACATTGTATAATAGTCCATCTTTTTTCATATTGTAAATAAACCACATACAGGACTGTACAGTATACTGTATATGGGGCCTGAAGCATTCATTGTGAATGGTTGTAGCCCCCAGTTAGGATTGGAGTTCATGATCTGGGATGGCCTCACATGTTGATGGGGAGCTTGGTATCATCCTACCTATTTACCTATAGGTAAGAACAAACTATTAAACAATTTCCTTCTTTTTATGGAAAAAGAAATAAAGCCAGGGTATAGTGCAGCAAAAATAGGTAGTGATTTTAAAAGGTTTCCTGTTAACATAATGCTACCCCTCACACCACCCTAAAAAAATCATTGCTAATTCAGAAAATTTAAAGCTGTTTATTGTCTTTTGCTTACTATTTTAAATTGCATAGAATTTTTTAAAACCTAAATGTCTGAAAGAACAGTAATGGAGTTGTGCTTTCTTTCAAGTAATTTATAAGTGGGTAATCCATTTTGAAGTAATCTTGCATTAATTTTTATCACGTATTATTTGTTTCAGTGGTCCAGGTATATCCTACATTGCTGAGCTCAGTATTCCACCTCTTGATGATAATTCCTCTGCGAGTATCCAGTTTATTCTGAATCCTGAATGTACTTACTCCATACTGTAAGTTTTTTTAGCAATATTGTGTTGTATTGATAAACTTGGTTCATACTTTTATTACAGTTTATGATTAATGAGACAGGAGGAGTTGCAAGTGAATGGGTATAATTAAAATATGATGCCATGGTTATTATACTTGTATATTGTAGCTAGTTTATCTATGAGCCACTGCATTTAACATAGGCTCAGCCAGATAAGGAAACCTGTTTCTCATTATGGGTGATTCCATAATTCCTGATGACATTGTAGATTTTTCTGCCTTACCACCCTCTGGCGGACTGCTCTTGTACAGTAAGTCCTCGCTTAACGTCGTGGTTCCGTTCCTGAAAACCGCGATGTTAACGGAAACAACGTTAACGGAATCAATTTTCCCCATAAGAAATAGATAAAATATGGGAATTACGTTCCCCAGCCTCCCTTTGCCCCACAAAATACATTACATATACAGATATTCAATGGCATTTTTATAGAAAATATATACAGTGATCCCTCGATTAACGAACACAATTGGTTCCACAGAATCATTCGTTAACCAAATACGTATTTCGTTAACTGAATCTATTATTTCAATGGGATATTGGGTAATTGGTTCCAACTCACAGAAAAAGTACGTACAAAGTACAGTATTGTATACCGGTAATAGAATTAACAAAACATTAAATATAAACTAAATACAGTACTGTGCTGTACAGTACAGTATGCTGTATAATAATAAATAAAAAACCATGGAATACTATATTTTAACTTACTGTACTTTGAGGTGTGTACGTCGTATTCCTGGCAGCTTTGTTTACATATCAAACAGCCTTCTTCATGTTTCATAATAATTTATGCACTGTATATTATCAATATGTGAACTAAATTTCAGAATGACCAATAATTTTAATGTAAAAATGCAAAAATATTCAAGAGACCAACAAACTGGATGTTCACTCCACTGTAAACAAAGATAAACTGAGAAGCGTTGGTGGGTGATTCGATCAGCTGATTGTCACATAAAAACTGTTCCCTGTACAGTATATATTATCAATATGTTAACTAAATTAGAATGACCAATAATTTTAATATAAAAATGCAAAAATATTCAAGAGCACATCTTTCTTGATATTTCCTCCACTGGAAACGAATGTAAACATAGAATCAATTACTGTATTGGCAGACTAGCCGATCAGCTGATGCGCACAACAAAGAGTGTTTCTCATAAGGCTTTTGTTAATCGAAGTTTTGTTCGTTAATGGAATTGAAAATCCTTATGGGAGCTAATTCGTTAACCGAAATTTCGTTAATTGGACTGTTCGTTAATTGAGGGACCACTGTATATATAAATAAACTAAATCATTTTGTATTGTACTGACTGATGGACAGAGGTGGTGGAGCGAGTGTGTGTGGTGGGTACTGGAGCGGAGGAGGAGGGTGGCTAGTCACTGAGACCCGGCGGGTGACTCCTCCCAGTTTAAAACCTCCATTTTCGTAGCAAGGCTAATGGTCTTACGTAGCTTCTTCACAACACTAGCATCAGTAGCACTTGATGGGCGCTTGGAAGCCATTTCGAATGGTTAGAGTACAGTAATAAGAGCAGAAATTCTGTACTTAAACACGCACGAATGCTGTGGTAGCTTAACAAAGTTTGGTGATGTTTAGGGACGCCGTGACACTCCGTGGGTGAGAGCATAGTGCGCCAAGGTGGGAGAGGGTGATGCGCCGTACAAAGTAGCCCGTGACGATGTTATACTGAATCGGCGGGACGTTATCCAAATCATGGGTATCTAAAGAATAGCGACGTTATCGGGGGCAACGTTAAACGAGGACTTACAGTACTAGTAATATATGTTCTCCTATTAGGGGGATCCTAGAGCCTTTTGTTTAGGACACAAGTGTCTCCTAGTGATGATGTGTCTTATTGTCTACTGTGTGTAGATTGTAAAACAATTTTATTTAAAGAACTGATATTCTAAAAGCTTAATGTTTGTCCTGCAGTTGTCTTGATTTTCAATATTTTTCAGTATCCAGGGCAGCTTTATTGGAGTTTTCCGGCGTCTTGTGTGGCTGTATGGGTCCCAGGTTCCCACCTACTGTGTAATTCACCTCCTCCTCACCCTTGCCAAGCAGCTTCGGGTAAGATGTATTAAACTGTTTGACTGAAGCATTAGTAGATTCCATAAGGTCAATCATCTTAAAAATCCGACATTCGGACAATGGGTCTTAGTATTTACGTACAAGAAGTAGTTACCGCGGCGTAGAGGGGATGCGGAGCGGTGCGTGGGGAGTGATGCGTCACCCAGGCACCCGCCTTGAGGGAGTGTCAATATTTCCTTACCCTCACCTCAGTAACCTGTGTGATCAAGTGCAAACTTTTTTTTTAGCTTATTAACTCTTTTATGGCCCTTATCATGGCTCCCAAATACAAACCTGATGCAAGTGATAGTAGTACATCCAAGAAAAGGAAAATAATTACAAAGGAAGTGAAAGTTAATGCAATTAAACATTCTGAAAAAGGCAAAACACCCTCAGTGATTAGTAAGGCTTTGGGTTTCAGTCGTTCAACGGTCGGAACAATTTTGAAAAACCAGTGCCTTCAACTGTGATAACAAAACAAAGAAGTGGATTGTTAATTGAAATGGAAAGATTGTTTGTGATATGGGTGGAAGATCAAAATCAACAGGATTTGCCTCTTGAGTCTAGCCTTGATTCAGGAAAAAGCGAGAAACTTGCATGCTGACTTGAAGGCTAAACATGGTGGTGAAAGTGATGGGGAAGATTTTGTTGCTAGTAGGTGTTGGTATAGCCAGTTCATGGTGAGGGCAAATGGTGTTTTGAAAAAAACATTGCCCACAGTTTGTCCACGATTTCAGGGGCTCTGAAAATGATGTTGGGAAGTGATAAAGACAGTGGTAGACCTTAGGAACCAACTCCAGCTTGATATTCATGAGGAGGATATCACACAGTTGCTTGAGTCTCATGCTGAAGAATTAAGCAATGAGGACCTGATTAAACTGGAGAAGCAAATTTTGTCAGAGGATGTAGAGGAAGCTGAAACTTCAGAAACAAACGGATTCATTACAAAAGAAATGGCAGAAGGTTTCAGGCTTATTGAAGAAGGATTGTTTAAATTTAAACAGCAAGATTCACCAATATTCATAGAGGTATTACTGAATATCTATGCTGCTACTGAGAGATTTATGACAAAAAGAAGAAAGTTTCAGTTCAACCAACCCAATAAAGCCTTTGTCACTCCCATAAATGCCCATCTCTTCATGCAAGCCATTCCCAGGTTTCAATATAAGTGTTAAACTTTAATTTTTACTTTTATTTACTGTATTTTGTCATTCAATATCTTCCTTTCTCTTAAATTAAGTGATTCAAGATGTATAAAAGGACTTGGGCAATGATATAGTGCACAAAGGGTAGGTGTTCCGACTTACGTACATTTCCAACTTAAGGACGGCCTCGGGAGCAGAACCTGTTCTTAAACCGTAGACCCCCTGTATATGTGTAGCTACAATTTTCACTTACAGTATAAACATCAGGGATGCTGCCTCCTCACTAACAAATGGTCTCCTACTGTTTTATGTGTCAGTGATACTTTGTGGACTTTATTACTCATAGAGCATGAAGGTATTTTTAGGAGTTGGGGAATTTGATTATTTTTGTGCATAGAAATTTTAATGTACTGTAATTTATTTGTGATCCTTATCATAAAGATGTGTTTTTTATGGTTAATTTTGTATGCAGAATATATCTTGATTTTAATGTAATTACCGTGATATCACGGCCTATAAGGCGGCGGGGTGCATAAGACGCCCCCCCCAAATTTCCATTTAAAAAGTAGCTTTTGAGCTCTATTTGCTGTATAAGACCAGTACCCCAAATGTGACACTTACCCACTGACTCAGTAGTCCTTTACCAACCATCCTTGATTTTTTAAAATAAGGCCAATTCACTTCAAGTAATGTCATCAAATTATACCCGCTGGTGTAGTGTAAACACTAGTGACGTCACTGAAGCGTGTTGGGAGTGTTCCCTCGTCTCGGTGGTGTGACTATTTATACAACATGTGGTTCAACAGCAACCACCGTATTCTAATTGTGGTGTTTCATTAGGATTTGAATGAAAAAGGTTACCAGTATGTACTTACTACATACATTTATTACACAAATATATATATATATATATATATATATATATATATATATATATATATATATATATATATATATATATATATATATATATATATATATATATATATATATATATATATATATATATATATATATATATATATATATATATATATATATACTGAATATACTATGTACAAAAAATGAATGTTCAATGAATTATTTATGGTGCATTAGGGTACTGGTCACTTCTGATGGGCTATAAATAGCCTTCTTTATCTCCCCTACATCTCACCCTGAGCCAGACGGAAGGGTCTTGGTAAATAACATGTTTGCTTATTTTCCATTTACTTTAAATAGATTTACCGAATTATTTGTTTTATTTATTTATTTATAATATACTGTAATATATTAAACACACTGTAATTATTTTCTTTAATTTATAAACTGTTTTGCGACAAAGGAATGTTCTCCAGTAGTGTTTCATTAGGATTTGAGTGAAAAAATATTACGTACTTACACAATTGTTCCTCTTACTTTGACAACACAACATACATACAGTATATTATTTCTCAGTTTTGATCTTTTTTTTTAATTTTTGTATTTATTTATAGTTAGTTACTTAAAATAAGGCCAATTCACTTCAAGTAATGGCATCAAATATTACCAGCTGGTGTAGTGTAAACACTAGTGACGTCACTTGAGCGTCTGTAATTAACCGTCGATAGTTTCAAGAATTAATGCACTCATTTACTGAATATTCTTTGGAAAAAAATAAAATTTAAATCAATTATTTATAGGAGATAAATATTATTATGAGTAAATATACCGATACCGGTATGCATTACTGACCACCTCCACGGCTCCTCACTGGCAAATGGGGGGGGGGGCGTGGGGAGGGGTGTGTGATGATAGCTGTGTTTATTATAGGGGTATAAATCTCTTTTACGGTATGTTAGACAGGTTTATAATACATTTTTATTATTTTAATATACCGGTAATCTTAATTTGAATCCAGCTTGCCAAACGTAAGTTTCAGTATAAAATAATTAGTGGTAAGACCTTGTGAGTGGCTTACGATGTTTTCATCACCACTCTTGACACACTAAACCACAATATTTAAGAGGTAAGAATTTTAAACTTGGTGGTTTAGACGACCCCCTAACTTTGGGCAGATTTTTTTAATGTTCAAATTTCGTCTTATAGGCCGTGATATACGGTAGTATGCATCTTGTTGAATATACAGGACAGTACAGTACATCCATTTAACCATTATTTTCTTTCCTTTTTTTTCAGATGATTGAGAAGGATGGATACTGTCCATCATTCTTTTCATCCATGCTTAGCCTCACACCTTTGGCTGTTGTTCCTTTTGTTAAAATCGGCAGCCTTGTACTAAAGTAAGGATTAGTTTACCTGAATTTATTTTCATTAATTTATATATATATACTCTAGAGTGGGCATTGTTTTTTAAAACAATTATTCTAATTTCACAGTTTAGTAAAACAAAATAGATTTATATTTTTCCCCTCACAAATTTAATAAGTGTTTGCATGTCCTTCACCTCTGTGTTGTATTTGTTGTGGTATAGGGATGACACTCACTCACATGAAGTAAGAGGTTCAGAAGTAGGGATGTGCTAGATAGTGTATTTTACAATCTGGCCAGATACCAGATAATTTAAAAGATCCAGCCAGATATTATACAGTATTACCTCTCTGTCCCAAAATTCATTATACATTATACCAAACAGCTTCTCAGATTCCAGTACTGTACTGCAATTTCAATCAATAAAACCTCTGTACAGACTGAATTTGTTATACTGGTATACAGACACTCCCCAGGTTACAGATGGGTTCCATTCCTGGAAACTATCCATAAGCCAAAAGTGACCCTTTTGTTGGTAATCATTGAACACGCATAATGTACATACAGTAGACCCTTGCCGGTTTTACAGTTCGCGGTTTCAACTATTCGCAGTTCATTCCCTTAAAATTAGTAATACATAGTTCTGTCATGTAAAAAATAAATAAAAAATTGGGTACCGGATTAATTGAGCCACAGCGATGTCATTAATCAGACGTAATCCATTATTCAAAATTCCATATCACCAGGGAGGCACAACTGTTCAAAACAACAGCCAGCATATTACTCTAACACAAATTGGCTTATTTAAGATCATAATAAATTAGTTCAAGTAATATTATACTTATGATGTACTATCCGTAAATTAAGTTTTTTTTTTTATTTAAAGTGTCAATAGATAAAGGTAAGGTTCTAAACTCTAGAAGCTTTCAGAGTCGCAGAGAAGATTTTTTAAGGTTCCCTAGACCTGACTTACGTGTAATGGCATGGATGGCCTTGTACGGTGCGAGATAAAGTGGATGATGTGTATAGTGTACCATATATACTTGAGTACGATTTGAGCTTTTATGATAAAATTTTTATGCAAAAAGCAAGTGGTCAAACTATAGGTTCATAGTATTTTTAAGGGTAAAATTTCATTCATTTCTGCGGGTCATTTCCGGTGAACCATAAGCTACCTGAGATGCTCTTGTGTTAGACTAACATTACCGAGCTGTGAGATGTTATGGTTATTTTCAACTCATAATTTTGGGTAATATGTGTAACTTTCTTCATTTTTTATTTTGCTCAGTTACATGCACACACAATCCTTCATACATATTGTTTAGAGAAGAAGTAAAGAAGTAATTATCATAAAGGTCAAACGCATAAAGGGAATAAACATTTCTTTGCACACGAGTTAGGAGGTTGAGCTGGGGGAGCGGGAAGGAGCAAAATGTGTGTGTGGGGGGGAGAATTGCTATGGTGACTAGTGAGTGTTGAGACGGCCAATTAGCCAGCGTCTATGCATGGTGGTTATATTAAACTTGCATTTAGCTTTTCTCGGGACACGTCTTTAGGGTGTTGTGTCACGCTATGAACTGGTGGTTGGGGGGTAGCATCACTTCCAAAGGACATTAACGAAACAGCTGACACACACAAGAGGGTTGAGTGTGAAAGTTAATGGGCTGTCAAGTCAAGATGGTGTGATATAAACAATTGCTTATTCTACCTTAGATGGTCATTACTCTGGGTGATAGAATGTATACTGTATAATGAATATATGTTTTTACCCCATATTTATATAATACTTCTGTCTCTATATGAGACAGAGGCTAATACATACAGGGTATCATAGATCTGTGTTGAGATATTTCTTCCTCTCAAAAGCCCTTCAAGTTTAGCATTATTAATGGTTGCTTTCTTGTTTCTTTCAGGAATCTGGAGATAATTGATGATATGGTAATTATGAGTAATAATGGAGAGGATTTGCCAGTCCTCCCAATATTGTTGTTCTTAGGAACGTTACCTCTTACATTAGCATTGGGTGCAGCTGCTTGGGGTCTGATCTTACTTAGTGGCAATGCAGCACATTCTTTTGTTGTAAGGTGAGTAGACGAGTTCCTGTATTATTGTTTGTTTTGGGAAAAATCATATGACTGATTGTTATCGACATTTCCAGTAAACCTTCAGGATTATGGACTAATTGGGGGAAGACCATGGTCACTAATGCTGAAAATCTGTTAAATTCGATTGACCAATAATTACTTTGAATTAAATGGGTTTGAAATACCAGATATTTCGAAATAGGAGGAGGTTTTATTACTTGCTATTGTATAAATTCAAAATGCAAGCTCAGGATAAAGTAGCATGTAACAAGTGTGGTTATGTGTAGAGCAATGCATAATATGTGATGATGGTTGTTTGAAGCTGAAGTTTTTCAAAAATCTTCAGCTTTGTCTGTTATTCTTCCAGTTAGTATTCATGCTGTGACAAACTATTGGACACCTCCTCGGGATAACGAACACTTGTTCATTATCCTGAGGGGGTGTCGGTTATAACTGGATTCTGTTATATACAGTGTCCGTCATACCAAGAGTTCCCTGTATTAATAAAGTGCTTTTAAAGAAGAGTCAAGATATTAGACTTAATATGGAGTGACATATTGAACTCTGAAGTTGTGCATCAGTTACCTTAGTATAAAAAAGGGGATTTATGTACATTCTCTCCTCGACTTACGACGGTCATTGTCGTTATATTAAAATATTTTACATTGTTTTCGAGTCTAGAAATTTCGTCGCAATGTCTAATTACTCCTTACGACAACTTCAGCTGGCACGCTGCCGCGTGTGTACAGCATCCACGTCGTATTCCGCTCAGTTTGTGTATTAAAAAGGTAAAAGTTTTACAAGTATTACCTGTCCCCTTGTACTATGTATTATTTTCATCAGTTCGACTTACGACCTGATCGTCGGAACGGAACCCCATCGTAAGTGGAGGAGAGACTATATATGTACAGTAAAAGGGGACCCGAATACTGTATACATGAATTTGCACTTATGTGGGGATCCCAGGAATATAACCTTCTCGTACTCTGAGTCCCTTAGTAATAATAATAATAAACCTTGTTGCAGCCGGTGGCTGAAAATATACAGACTTACATTTGATTTAGACATAATGCTATAATAGGCATTGAATATATTTACAGGGCTGTACAGTACATAAATCAGTTGTTTTTTATTTTAACAATAGATGGGATGGTGCTGTTCTTATATCTATCGGTGCGGGCTCTTATGGGCTGAATTTTGTTGTAGTAGCGGACTGCGCGAGGTGGGTGGGGGGCTGCCGGTGGCAGGTGGCGGCAATGACGAGAGTGGTGCATTAGTTGGCTGCCAAACCTTTCCAGTGCTTAGTGGTGGAGGTCTCTGAGGGATGGCATTTCCAGGGTGGAGAGAGCATTGGTGTAGCCGGAGTATTCTGCGCCGAGTATCTGCAGGCCCTTTTCTGTACCTTCTCTAGCTGACGTTGTTGGGTGGAGTTGAGAGAAGACGACCAGGCTGGTGACGCATACGATAGTTTGGGGAGAATAAGGCGTTGTAGATGGTCGTCAGCTCTGGCGTGGGTGTCCCAAGTGACTTAAGTCGTCGTAGCATGTAGAGACGGTACGAGGCTGCCTTGACTGTGTTATTTACACGGGCCTTCCAGTCAAGTTTGTTGTCTATAGTAACACCCAGGAGTTTGGCAGACTGCACCAGCTGGAGAGGATGGGCACCCACTGTGACTGCTGGGGCTTGCGCTGGAGTGGTGGCCGTATTGAAGTGCATGACTACGGTTTTGGTGTGGTTGATGGTGACCTTGTTCTCCGTGTGTTCTTCTGTGTGTGTGTAATAATAATAATAATAATAATTAACGGTTTATTGAAAGAGCTTGGCAGCCAGAAGGCTGAAAATATACAGTTACATATTTGGGGAATGGGTTACGAATTACAAATAATATACAAGTGTGTGTGTGTGTGTGTGCATGCAGGTACTGTACTCATTGTACCGCACATTGATAAGTTAGTAGATGTGGTCATTCGGCGATTGATATTTTTTTTTTAACAGGAACAGTATATACTGTACAAAGTTCTTTTTATGCAAGAAAACCAGTACTGTACTTGTACTGTGTTAAAAAAAACTGAGTGGTAACACAAATGCTAATGTTGATCCATTAACCTTTCAGGATATTGGGGCATTCTCTAGGTGGAACAGATATTGTTGCTGATCTAGCAGTGTCAGGACTTTCACGGGTGCCAATGCTAGTGGGTGTGGCACTCATTTCTCTGGCTTATTCTTCATGCGGCACACTGGCACTGAGTTTGGCTGGCATATTTTACTTCATAAAGGTAAGGGAATTTACTGATAAGGACAGTTGCTCTTATGCTAACCCAACCCAACCCCTGTACCAACAGTCAGTGTTAGGGTATTTAATCATTAGGTGAAATAAGCATAAGGACTAAAAAAAATTTTTTAAAATAATTAAAATGCTAAAATTACTCCTGTTGGTATTGCTGTAAAAAGTAAATTTGGAAAGCAATAGTTTCAAGAATTCCATTTTTCTATCAGGTGTTCAAACTGTATGAAGATTACATTGAGAAGATAGTATTGGGACTAATACCAGGTGTATCTGGTGATGGAAGCACCACAGATCGAGCTCTCTCAAGAGTACACTTCCATCTGACTCTCATGATGTTGGTGTTCCTTGTTACCGTCATCAACATACCTACTTTGATTATATGGAGCCGATTAATAAGGTTAGTTGTACGGGATTTTTATTTCGGACTTTCTTTGATCTTTTGTATTATAATATTGTGGTGAAGCGATGGAAGGATGTTAAAAATTGTGGTTAGTAAATAATTAATTGATCCTGGAAATCTAACTGTATAACTTGAATTAGGCCTACCGTAGTGTAACGAAGGGGGGCCTGTTTGTTTACCTTTATTTACTTTTTACTAATTTATATATTTCATATTTTATTCTTTCCTTTACTTCTTTTGCTTGAGAAGGGAGGGAGTGAGAGAGACTGGGAGACTGAGGGAGGAGAGTGTGAGTGGAGGGAGGAAGTTGTGGTCAGTGGTGGTATAGGCCTACAGTCGGTTCTCACACCAAGGGGAGGCCGAGAGGTGGATAGCTGTGGGGGGGGGACGAGATACAACACTTAACAGAGGGGAAATATGACAATACTTATTACTTAGGACTCACTGTATTAATGTATGATACCAAAGACATGCATGACAATGGTTTAGTCAACACGAGGGAATAGAAAACTAGATCACAACGGTTCTTCATTTATAAATGACGTTACTCAAATTGAACAGGTAAACTCTCAAAACAATAATCCTATCTTCCTAGCTAGCTACCCAGGGGTCATCCGACTCACAATACATTTCGGGAAATGGATCAAACCTAATAGGTACTCACATTATAGCTGCCATATGAGGAGACACTCACAACACAACCACACTTAACCCTGACCAAATACAGACTCTGCTTTTTCAAACTGCCTCAGCCCACAAAAGGATCCTATAACTTTCATGATATCACATCTCACGGCCTTCTCATTGGTTCCGGCAGGCCTAGGGCATTTCTATTGGCTCGAACTTGGCGGAAAACTCATGACATTGTTACACTAGGAGACCTGGGTATATTGCTCACCTACAGGAGTCTTCAGATTGGAAACCCAGTTGGACCCTGGATATTGAAAGCTAGTATCACTCAAACTATTAGGAGCACCCTCATCACAACCATACTCCTTAAAAAGAAGTATTTTTGGCAACAGTTGGCACTTATGGCTGAGGGTGATGAGTCGTGGTGCTGCAGTAGCTTGTAAACCTCATATTTCATTGAGAGAGAAACATGCATGTACTTGTCAATAAATCATCCATTACCACAACTTCTTTAATTGTTTTATGCATTTTTGAAGATGTTTCCTGTTTAGTGTTTTAATAAGATTTGAAAAATGGGTGTAGATACTTGTATACAGCTAGACCCCGACTTACGACCGTCGGGACTTACGACCTCCGCAGTTGTGACCATTTTTTTTTTTTTTTTCAAAATGACACATGCATTTTCTATACCGAAACGTTTCCAGTTAATGTAGTCTCCATGTATAATTAGAAAATTATGGGGGCCCCATGTGCATTCAGCTGACTACATTAAAAGTAAGTGCTCAGTCACACTGTATCCATTCCTCATTATTTATTACTTTCACTGTACTGTATCCATTCCTCATTATTTATTACTTTTACTGTACTGTATTTCATTGTAGATTTTTTATTAAAAATTTTTTTTTTTTTTTTTAATATCTATGTCGGACTTACGACCTGGATTTGGGTCCCTAGCCCCGTCGTAAGTCGGGGTCTAGCTGTATATACATATGGCTAGCTAATCCTGGGTAGTCTGTAGTGGTGGGGAGTCAGTTGATGAACAGTCGTCAGAAGGAGATTATGCACATGCCAGTCAATTGTACTATTTTATATTGAATTTCACACATGTTTTTATGCAGTTCCTTTAATGTTTATTAATTTGTAGGTGTTTCTTAAAAAAATCCTTTTGGGTGGCATGGCTGCAAGAATAACACAAAATTGTTTGGAGGACAACTGTATGGGTAAAAATATAAAATTAACTTGAAATATTCCATTAGTGAGGGTTCAGTGTACAAAAGTATTCTTATAATCTATAACCACTCAACTACTACAGTTATTTTCTGTATTTTTTATGTCATCTGACAAGCTTTTAGTAGAATGCTTAGTATTTTATCCTCTCCATGTTTAAACATTTGTATCCTTGTACAGGTACCATCCACTCAGAGCTTTTCCTTTGCCAATAAGTGGGGTATGCTTTGCGTATATCGAATATGGATGTTAAAACATCAGTTGCGAATAAGTAGGGTTGCAAATAGCGAGGTATTCCTGTACCAGATAATCCTCAATCTAGCCCTACATAATTTGTAAATTTTAGTTCCAATAGGTATTCCATTATTGCTTATAATGGTTTTTATTTTCATCATGATGAGAATGAATTATAAAAAGTTATGAAAAGTTATCTGTACTGCAGTGGAGTTATCTATTTACAGGAACAACCTACAGCTTTCAGAAGACCCAACACTGATGGTAACAGTTGCCATTCTAGTCACTCTTTGTTTCCTGTGGCAGAAGAAGCTTCCACAAGCCAAAAGGTAATTTTGAGTATTGTAATGTTATTCTACACATGTTTGAATTCTTCTATGAAAATATCAGTTTCTCACTGTTGACTAACCATCTTAACAGAGCAATCACTTGGACTGTGTAACTTGTAGTTGTATTTGTTTGTCTTTGTTCTCTTCGATAAATTCCTAAACTATACTACTATAGTTATTATTGTTAGTACTCCCAGAATAACAATATCTGTACTGTATGTGAGTGCAATTTGAAGTCTTTTTCTATTATAGAGGGTCACTTTTATGACTAGGTCTCTTCCCCAATAGGGGAGGGAAGATGGGAAGACTTACAGGGTGATTACAGTATAATGGAAGTTGTTCTTCTTAAGTCCAGAGCTAGAGTCTCTGTCCTGCTGACAGCAGTTTTAAGCATTTGGTTAACTGGGGACTCGCTGGGTATTTCTTAGACTCACGAACTACCTCTTTCCTTCTATTGGCTAATTGTATATTTCTTGATTTGTGGCTGGTCATTGTAAATGCTGCCTCTCTAAAGAGCTCACATTACTCTACTTACATTCTCATGGGTCATCTTACATTTGGTCATCATAATTTCACAGTACTATTACAGCTTTGACAGCTTTTCCATTACAATACAGTACATGGCTTGGTCGTGAATCATTGAGACGGGAGTCAAGTGCAGTAATATGAACAAGTAGACATTTATATATAATTTTGCTGAAGTAAACTGGAAATGGCAGTTGGTATAATAGCAACCAACATGAAAAGGGAACAGAGAGTAAATTTATTAAAACAAAGTAAAAATCATCTACCGCAGAGTGACTGGAAAAATAAACCATCGACAGCGAGTTAATATTTGTTTGTGTTATTTTCAGAAAATACTACAAAGAACTATCATACATAATACACTCCATAGCAGTTATTGCACTCCTGTTTGGCAGCGTGCACATATATCGTGTATCTTATCTCGTGGTGGGAGCCCTGGCTTTAGTTGCTTTTCATCAAATTGTGGCTCCTACACCTGAGGATATCCAAGAACAAGATCATGACTCACCAAGCAGAAGTAGCCAGCCATACATGGCTCAGGTAGGAACTGAAGATGCTACAGCTTCTAATGGTAGTCACTCGGAAACAAGCACACCTGGTTCTGACCTCTCACATGATACTGTGGGGTGAGGCAATGAGTTGGACTGAGGTATGGAGCTCATGTGTACTTACGGAGGAGCAAAAAGTCTATGCTATGACATTAGGTATATGAATTTGCTATTACATTTAGTTATCTGAAGTTGTACTTAATTTAATTTCAATATTGCTCATCATGACTTGCGTCTAAAAATTTTACAGTGAGATGATAGTGAATGAATACTAAATAATATATACAGGAGTGCTTCGCTTTATAAAAGGAATATATGTTTCTGAAAAAACCTTTTGTAAATTGAAGCCATTTTCCCATTGATAATGTTTCTATGAGAAAAAAAGTCCCTCAAATGTCAAAATTCAAATTTTTTAGCAATTTTTGTGGGAAACATTAAAGCTATCCCTCGATATACAAGTGGTTAGGTTCCAAGAAAACCATTCATTAGGTGAATTTTCGTATCTCGAATAGAAGAACATATGGAAAAAATAGGGTTCAGTTCCCCAATGACAAAAATAACCCAATATTATAACCTAAAAAACAAAATTGATTTACAAACAAGAAAAAAAACCTACCTAACAAATGATAAATGGTGCACAAGTACTTTAATTTACTACATAACACACTAAAACATTAATAAAATACTATCTAGATGAAAATATGCAGTAAAACTATTTAGGAAAAGCTTATCAAAGTTTAACACAGCTGCCAGTGGTGCCATTTGCATAGATGCTGTCTGCTTCAAGCGTTACCATAGCAACGCAGCCCGGCTGCCTCTGCCGCCGCTTAGCAATGCTTCCCCTCCCGCTTTCACACGCAAAGAAATATTTATGCCCTGTATGTTTTTTACTTTGATTGCTATTTCTTTTACTTTTGCACATTATGTATGTAGATTGTGTGTGCATGTAACCAGTTAAAAAAAAAAGGGTGAAGAAAGTCAAGTTTATCTATCCAAAACTACGAGTTGAAATATAAGCATGACATCCTGCTAACTCTCTCTGCTGCACAAAGAAATGTTTATTACTTTTATATTTTTGACCTTATGATAATATCAGTATATTTTTTATTTATATTTTGCACATTTTGTATTCAGGATTGTGTGTGCATTAACTGAATGAAAAAATATGAAGAAAGGAATGTTTACTGTATACAGTACTGTGTACTCGAAATTACAAGTTGAAAAATAACCATCACAAAACTCCTACTTCAGCCTGGTAGGGAGAGAGTTTGGGGGATGTGGCCGCCTCAGCTGACTTGAATTTTTGTCAGGACCCAAATTCATATAAGCTTTCGTAACACGAAAAAGAGGTGCTAATTTAGGAAATTTGTATAAACGAATTTTTGTATCTCAACCATTCGTATATCAAGGGATACCTGTACTTCTAAGAATAAGTACTAATCATAATAACATTAATAAAGAAGTACACTACAGTATCAAGTTTATTTAATCTATATTAGAATATATTTCACTTTTGGGAAACTGTAGGTGGTCGATGTTAAGGGTGATGGTGTGGCAGGATCGTGGTAGATGGGGCTACTCGGAGGATGATGGTGTGGGAGCTGGAACATCGCCTCACCATCACCACCACCTTCATGTAACATAACTGTTTATGCATATATAAGCATAGAAATGTTCCCACACACTAGCCTGCACCACAGTACACTACTTACTGTCCGTTTTCAGCACGGGATGCTCTCAGATGCGTTTGTCAGACAGACTCAGCCTCTTCCGATGCTGCAAAACAAAGTTTTTTTGTTTTTCATAAAAGCAGGGTTTTCAATAATATACCAAAGCACGAACAAAAAAATGTATTAGGGAATTTTTTTTAATCAAGGTTTTGTTAATCGAAGTACTCCTGTTTAAATGCTAAGTTATTAATATTTGTGCAGCTGGTGGTTCCGGTATGACCTCTTTCTTTCAGTTTGTTTTATTCTTTTGCATCTTATGTTTACTAAACTTTATCATTGCACTATTGGTTAAGAAACCCAAATAAAGACATTTAGATTTGTGACATTTGATTTCTCATAACTTAAATGATTACTTTCTAAAGGTATTTCTACACTGTGAAGTGAGAATATTACTTAATTATAGTACTGTATGTTATCAGGTATGTGCCCGTATATAGTGTTAAGACAAAGAATGTACGGTACTGTATGTAAATTTTGTATAGGAATTTAGCTTTTTGGTGAAATGTATCGAAGACTAGAAGGGTATTTTTAAGTTATAAACTCTTGATTTTCTTCATGTAATATTGTTAGTACAAAGTTAAACAAAGATTTTTGTTACATTGAAACTTGGGTGCAGCTAGATGATATGAGAGTAACATTATACAGTACCTGTTTTGGAGAGTTTTACTTCATTAACTGGTGTGAATAAGTTTTTATTATTATTGTTGTTATTGTAATTATTAATAATATTATTATTATTATTGTCATCTTTGGGTGCCGGTATACAATATGAGATACAGCTTTGAAGACCAGCACTCAAACTCCAAAGCAATGTATCAGGAGGATTAATGTACAGTAATTAGTTTTGTATGGTGTCACATGGGTAAATACTTTCATGTATATCTAGAAAATAGGCTTTGAATATTAACTTATATTAGTTTTATAATTAGAAAAATACATGTACAGTATACTGCACTGTATACAGAAATGATTATACAATGTAATATAATACCATGTGTGTAGATTTTTAGGGACATATTCTTGCATACAAAAGTTTGATGAGTGTCTTAATATGCCAGTACAGTAATGCACTGCAGGATCTCGGGTTTGGGTTCCTGGAGACCTTGTGAACATGATTTACTTAGGACTTAATTGGGACGATAATATTCCTGAAACCACCACCAGCCATCCACATTCCTTCCCCACCTCATCCCCTTCTAAGTTATAATTATGTTGCCAGCACATTTTTGCCTCATTCACTTTACCACTACAACACTTCACATTTTCTATTTTAACATGAAATACAAATGAAACACGCTTATATAAAATTAACTTTCACCTTTACACAGTATTATGTAACTTCCCTTCCACCATCACCAGTCATATGTACACAGCACATTGATGCCTCACCTTCTCTCTATCACTTCAACACATCACATTCTAGAATCATATAATATATATTCCAAACATACTGTACAGTATGAAATTAATATTCACCTTTATGCTGATAGCTAAATCACACTGAACACAGTAAATATAGGCAACATAAATGTAACCAAGAAATGTAAACATTAAGGTGAGCATGGTTATAGCTCGGTGTCACATAACAAAAAGCATGAGAACGTAAGGATCAAAGGAAATTTATCACACATGCGGTCATACACTAGCCTCACTGTATGGGTACAGGTATGTGAAAGTCAAAATACTTACAAAATAGAAAAGAAAAAATCCACAATGACAGAAAACTTACAAATGGGTGCCAGTATTATTTGAGGATTAAATGAAACCTTTGCTGGATATGGCCACTTTGTCCAATACTGATGGTAATCGTGTAAATTTTAAAGTGACTAACTGTATTCTGTACACCCAAACCTTGACATTCTCAGGGCTCTACCCTATTCAAATTATCAGATGATACTGCTCTTATCACAGATAGTGAAGAGGCATTACAAAAACTGGTTAACAAATTAGTGGAAAGAGGTGAAGAATATGGGTTAAGAGTTTAATGTTGTAAAGACGAAACTAATGGTTGTATTCAAATTGGAAATAAATCCTAAATTAAGAATTATGATAGGCAACAAACTTAACAAATAGATAATTTTATGTATTTGGGAAGTAACCTTAATGTATTGGTAGATGTGCGAAAGAAATTAAAACAAGTATAGGTCAAGCAAAAAACAGCATGTAATAATAACCTAAAAGACCTCATAAAAAGGGACATTCACTTAAATTTAAGAAAAATTCTGCTGAAATGCTATACTGTACTGTATACTGTATTTGGTCAGGTCTGTTGCATGGGTCAGAAGCGTGGACAATTTCAGCAGACACCAGAAAAGTTAGAGGCCTTTGAAATGTGATGTTACAGGAGAATGTTAAAAATGAGTTACACCGACAGGAAAACAAATGAAGAAGCACTAAGATTGGCAAAAACTTAGAGAAATACTTGAAATTAAAAAAAAAAAGTAAAATGAGATACTTTGGTCATATACTTTAGGGATGAGGGAATGATAACAGAAATATTAATGGGCAAAGTTGAAGATTGGAGCGCCAGAGGAAAGAAGAGACAGGTGGATGAATGAATTTAAAAACTGGGTCCCCAAAGAGATGCAAAATCTTGGAGGATTGGTAAAAATGGTCCAAAAACATTTAGTGTGGAGGACTGTGGTCATCAACCCTCATATATGAGGACATTACTTTGAGTGATTGATTGACCTCACTTATTAGAATTTCTCTTCGCCCCCTTTGCCGTAAGAAATACTGCTTGACATTAGTTAACTGTACAGTACTCTACTCCTCATTCTCCACTTTATTTGTCCCACCCAACAGTAGATTTATCCCCGCTCAGCCCATTTGATAATAATTGTTACTTTGTTTTGCAATGATAGTTGTTACATGGTTTCATATTGTACCACATCAACGTTTTGTGGGCTGACCAGTGCATACTTGATCTTCACTGTAGCTACATTGATTTAAGAGGACCCAAGACACAAATCATGGTGTCAGCTGTGAACTTTAACTCGGATTTCTTTATTACTACAATACTGTATAAATTTAAGGGTCACTAATGGCATTGATTTCCCAGTCTTAGAACACCACTTTATTTTCCCTTTAAGATTATAAATAAGTTACAATGTCATATATATTGCAACAACAGTCAAGACATTTCCTTATTGTAGTAGAGGTTTACTGTGGATGCTGGAGGCTTTTCCTCAGCTCATGTGGATAGTAAATAAAATACAGGTTGACAATCCCTTATCCAAAATCCTTGGGGCCAGATACATTTCGGTTTTTGGAATTTTTCGGTTATCAGAATGTTTTTTTTTTTTACAGGGATCAGCCCACCCCGGCACAGGTCACTGACCCACATTGGGGCCTGGGGGCTAAGATATAATAATAATAATAATTATAATAATAATAATTCTTCATAGGTCTAGGTCGTGCTTCTCACTTTTGATCTTTTTTTCATTCTTGTATTTCTTTATTATTATTATTTTTTTATTACAGTATTATTATTATTATTATTATTGTTATTATTCTTATTTTATTTTTGTGTATTTTTATTAAAATTTTTATTTACTATGAATAATTATTATTATTACTGTACTGTATTATCATTATTATTATAATTATTATTACTATTACTATTACATTTTTACCCCCCCCAGGCCCCGATGTGGGTCAGTGACCTGTGCCCGGGTGGGCTAATACCAAAAAAAAAAAAACTTTCGGTTTTTCAGAGCTTTTCAGTTTTTGGAATTTCGGATAAAGGGTTGTCAACCTGTACTGTGTAAATACCTCTACTGTATCCATGATTATAATTACAGAAGGACTGTATATCCACCTTTCTTCTATCTTGGATTTTCTCTGAAATCTAAGTTACAGCAACCATAACACTACACACACATAAAGTGATGGCTCAAATAATTATGCAGAATTACAGTATATTCCTGTATTGTGCTTGTGTGAGAGAGTAATGTTTTAATTATTTTATAGAATTTAAAACTTCATTCAGTATATATTTTTTTTTATAGAATTAATTTAATGCAGTGTTGACAAGAAGTGTCATTCAGTAAAATTTATATACTTTTGCATTAAGCTGATCACAGTTTATCAGTACAATTGACACCTTGCTATTCATGGGGGTTAGGTTCCCTGTACCCCAGAGAATTGTCAAAATCTGTGATTAGCAGCCATAGTAGTGTATGTTTGAGATACTTGAGTCACCCATAAACACAACTGTACTCTGTATACTGTGTAGTATTTCAGGATGTTTTTCTTTAAATACACGTACAGTACTGTACTCGTACATTCGTGAAAAGCATTAATAAAACAATGAAATATATTTACTTACAACAATATACAGGCATACCCCGCGTTACGGAAGGGTTGCGTCCCTGGAAAATTGACCTTATCGCACAATTCCATAATGTGAAACCTATTTTCCCATTGATTTCCATTATAAAACTGGAGATGCGTTCCTAAGGAATTTTTTTCGGCCCCAAAAAAGTAATTCAAGCACTTTTATGAATGAAAAAATCATTTATAAACACATACAATACAGTACATTAAATAATTTATGATATACCTTCTTAAAACATCAAGTTTAATATCCAATGTAATGCCTTTGTGGCTTCTTTTTGCACTACTGTGGTCACTTCCACTTGATGGCCTCTTTCCAGTTATCTTGAATAAGGGTAATGCACTGTACTGTACTTACTGTATGTTTGTAAAAGTTAAATCCAACTCCTGGGGCGAGAAACATGGACTGACTCCGCATGGCGACGCCACGCTTGGCGGTAGCAAACACTAAGAAATCCACACCAAACAAATTATAAATTTTAACAAAAAAATTTATTTTTATAGTGATTTTTTTTTAATTGTTAAAATTTACCCCAATTTCCATAAGGGCGGATTTACGGGCCATATCGCGAAATTATTGGTCATAATTTACAGATTCCGTAAGAGCGAAATTCCGCAACCCGGGGTTCCGTAATGTGGGGGATGCCTGTACAATACATTACGTACTGTACTATACTGTAAAGATATACGGAACCAGTTTGTATGTTATGTTTGAGATACTTGAGTCGCCCATAAACACAATTGTATATATTTCAGAATGTTTTCTTTAAATACACATAAAATGGTAAACAACATTAATGAAACACTGAAGTGATAAAATATACTACACAGTAAGTATAAAATAAGAAAAAATTAAGTGGAAAGGGAATTGTGTGTGACGAAGTATGGCGGGCGGCTGGGCCAGACCAACAGAAATTTCCCACTTCTTTATAACAATAGTATACAGTACAATTTCACCATAATTCCCATATTATTTAGGTTCATTTGGTGCCAGGTTAATAAAACAACATAAAATAATCCATTTTCCTGGGGAAAAAATCCCACACTTAACCTCAGATGAGTTATTGTTTGTTTACAATTGCGAACATCTGAGCTCCCTGGTGTTTACCTGTCTGTTATTTATTTATAAATCTATTTATTTAATGGTGTCACCCAGAGGATTATTATGAGAAGGGGAGGAGCTGCTGTTTATGTAATATAGAACTACTCTTTTGTTTCTCCAACCAATATATTGTATATATGTATTTTATTTTTATTTTTCTATGCATTTATTATTATTATTATTTATTTATTTATTATTATTATTTTTTTTTGGGGGGGGGGTGAACCATGTATAGGGGAACTGTAAAACTGCAAATGACAAAGGTCTACTACCTTCAGTGTTAGCAATAATAAGTGCATATATTATTAATTTGAGTCCATGCAGTACTGGAATTAACAAAGGTATTTTGGGTAGTAATTTAAGGATAATTATTTTAGCCGCATTAAAGTTTTGTGTATGGGGATTGTAAACGTGTACCAGTATGTATTTTAAAATATACAAATTACAAGAGGATCTTAAGAATAGGACTTTGAAGAAGCTGTGCTGTCAATGTTTCAATATCTTCATTGATGTTCATAGTCTTATGTAATCAGTAAGTGATCAGTAAATGGATTCTTGCATTTAGAGCGGAGGTGCTACATCAGTATTTCTGGACATTGAGTATATGTGTAAATTCAGTATGGGATTAAGCCTACTTTTCAAGTTTTAGATAGTTTATATTTTAGTATGTACGTACATTATTTTTAAATTAGGACATTTTGAACTTCATCATGGTTTGGGGGTGTTATTTTGGTTTCTGTAAAAATTATTTATACAGATAATGACATTACATGATCAATACCTGTACAGTACTTCACATGAATATTTATCATCACCATGAAATGCAGAACTCCAAATTCAAAGTTACAGCTGAAGGTCAAGTTTAGCAATGGGTTTATTATATAACATTGTTCTACTTGTTTTGTGTTTGTACCTGTTTGTATACTTAAAACTGCCACACATCAAATTATGTGTGTGATAGAAGTTTTTGGTATATGACAGAAATGTTGACATTTTATGAACATTATAGTATGATGTTTACAGGCTTCTATATAAGAACTTGATTATTAATTATGTACCCATTAGTTATGGGAGATAATGGTAAGAACAGGGCATCTGAATCTAACTTACATGGACTCAGGTGGTGTCACTCTGCTCTAAACCCATAACTCACAGGTTTGATCCCCATATGCAGGCTACATTGACGGGGCATTAGTCTGTAGTGGTGTGCACCGAGTTGACTATCGGAGAAATCATTGCCATAGGTTAAGCCTGGTGGAATGGTGGATGCCCCCCCACAATTTTTGGGAAATGACATAAAGGTTGTTAACTTTCTACAACTTATAACCAGATGATGTAATATTGTTAAGTATTTTATTAACATTGTTAAATATGTAAGGGTCAATGGACAATCACTGTGATCTTACTTAGTCTATAATGCAATTACATGTGTATGTGTGTTGATAATGTGTATATGAATCAGTATTGGGTGGGAAAGAGTAGTCATCCTGTGGTTCATGTTTACATTGAGAACATTTGTTTTTATGATGACGAACTGAATGTGGCCAGTTTGTGCTTCTAAACCTTGAAGATCATTTGTGCTTTGTGGGATGATGTAATTGTTGATACTGTACATTTAATTAAATACTGTAAGACTGTGATCTGTTTACATGCTTTTAACTAGAAACTTTATTTATAATAGTGTACACTATCAAGATTATTTGATTCTCTTTGTAAGGAGAATTGGCTGTTGAATGATTTATATAATTTTGTGATGCTTTTAACTTTTTGCTAGATATGTGTTAAATGTTAACTGTCAATATTATCTTAACTTTGAAAGTTTGTAACTACATGTACAGTACAGTATTTAAGTGATGATATTTTGTATGTAAATCAATGCATGGGTTGGTGCGTGCAGCTTAATTGTGATAAGGAAAATAAACTTTTTGTATAATGAAAAAGAGATTGGTCTCAAGAAATATATACAATCACTTAGAAATGTAAATAATTAAATTGATGAAGTTGGGTGCCTAGAATCCCA